AGAAACATCTACAAAGGCGGATTACAGTTGCTATTAATATAAACAAATAAAAATACTGGTTAATAAGGCAAAGAATGAAATTAAAAATCTGAATGTGTACACCACATGACTTCCTTGTACAAAATATTAAATTATACGCATTCTTCCTGCATTTCATTTAAACTATTTCTTCGAAATTCATTAGAGATATATTTCTCTTTCAATTAATTCAGTTCTCACTTCGCGACAAGGCAAAAATACATAAAACCTCAAAATATTTTTATTAAAAATTAAAAACTATAGAAAAATATAAAACATAAATACAGTTAAAACGATTTGAAGAGCAACTTTTACAATTAAAATTAGAGTTTCTACGCAAAAACAAGCAATTCGGCCAGCAAGAAGGCAAATGTTTCGTTGCCCAAAACTGAAAGTTTACCTTGAATCTCAGTCGGGAAAAAGACACTGAAGGTGTACAAACTGACTTCATTTGTTCTGGACGCTGAGTCAATATATCGGATAATTTAATAACTTAAATAATAATTCCAGAATGAGTTAGGCATAATTTAATTCGCATAATAAAGAACGTTATTTTGTTGTTGCGAAGTTTAGTTTCTCTGGACTGACAACAAATCCACTATTCTGCTAAGTTTAAAATGTAAACAAATATGGCTGCTATGGTAAAAAAAAAAAAAAAAAAAAAAAAAAAAAAAAAAAAAAAATTAGGCTTAGCCACACTTAAAAAACTTTTAAATTGTTGATAATTATACAAATATGACATGCTAGTTAAGTAAAGATATAGAAACCTAAACCGGAAATCAAGAACAACATAATTCAATCATTTTTAAAGCAAAAAATGCACAATTTACAAACATATAAGAATAAAGAAACAGAGTGGATGTATATATATATGTGTGTATACATATATTCATACACTTTTGGTGCGGCCGATTGCAACCGAAACGGGAGAAGCACATCTACATGTTATAGCAGTCCCACATACACAGTTTCAAAGTTATGCGAGGTACATACATACGTACGTACAGACGCCACGAAAAAATATCTTCTGAATCCATTCTCAATCAGTTTTATAATTCGTTTTGGGAAAAAGAATCCTTTATTCTGTCCTTACGTACAGATGTTACTCAAAAACATCGTTAAATTGCATTCGAGAGCTATCAAAATGGATATTTTCGTTGAAATATGGTACCCGGAATTTTTCGTGATTACAATACTTTCTTTACTTTGTGCAAAGAAGTAAAAATGGAACTGGAAATACATAAAATGCTGCGCAATATAACAGCAACATCTACCAGTTGGGAGAACTACCTGCAAGTACAGTGAATTCAAGTGAAACTTTCTTAGAGGTCGACGTCGATTATGCCCGTCTGTTTGCTCAGAAGATGAAAAGGGGAAGAGAAATAAGACAGATTAAATGCTAACATCTATATTTTCATTTGCTGCGTACAAAGAGCATCCATTTAGATATTGTCAGCGACTTATTGTTAGCTGCTCTGAAAAGATTTGCTTTGAGGAGAGAAAAACCTCGAGAAATAAGAAGTGGCTGTGAAACTAATTCTGTTGGTTCAAATAAAATCCTCAAAAAGCAGTTTCTTCTGTCCAGTCAAACACAGAATTTCAGAGGTGGTTATCAAATGAAAACAGAATGTGAAAATTCAATCCACCAAATGCAGAATCTGATAACATATTTCTAAGGCAGGCTGCTAAAATCTGCGTTTATGATGCGAAATGTACTTGAAAATGAAAATAAAGGTTAATGAACTGTTTTATTTGCATATGGGTAATATTTTTTTAAGCACCAAAATATGTGATGCTATTTCAATTAATTGTGTGATTGGATCGAAAATATTAATATGATTAGTTTAATAAATCAATACTTAATTTTAGTAATTTAATTTTTAATTTTAAGATTCTAAACTGTACAAATATTTAATTTTTTTAAATATTAAATAATTTATATCATTAAATTGTGTAGCATTTCAGCTTCATTTAAATCCAGATAAAAATACATATACTACATTTAAAGTTTAATTTCTGAAATAAGAAGTGTCCGAGCCTTGTAAAAAGTCATTCTTTATAAGGGTGAACAAAAATAAGTAAGTAAAAATAATAATCATTAAAGCAAATAATTCAATTAATTAAAATAAAAATGAGCTAAAGTTAAATATAAGCAAATAACGTAATAAATGAAAGCATTACAAAATAAAATAAAATAGAAAATTATATAAAAATAAAAGAAATATACAAAAGCATTGATAATTTAAATTAATAATAATGATAAATTTCCTGGTAATGTTGCGAATCAGCTATACAACAAAAAACCGAATTCATTTTATTCGGACCTCCAGCTAGAATTACAATTTTGCTCAAAAATTAAGAACTAAAAGAGATGAGTTTCGGTAGCCTCCGGCTAAATTTCAATTTTGATTGCATTTGTGAAGTTAGTTTCATTTAAAGTACTTTTTAAATGCTACCTGCATTTTACAATAAAAAAATCTGATGTGTACACCACATGACTTCCTTGTAGGGAATATTAAATTATACGCATTTTTTCTTGCATTTTATTTAAACTTATTAGATTGAATTAAACCTACTTCGCCGACAGCGCATAAACCACAATAGAATAAATGCCATTCTTTAAAATTCACTTTGTTTACCATAGCGACACTCTGGCGCTAGGTTTACTTAACAGTATTATATTTCATTCATATTATAACTCAGAATGCACAAAATGTATATCATTTAAAGAATTATCTAATCGTTGCCACATGTTCTATTCAAATACTATAATAAAGCTAGAACGATGTATAAAAGAAATTAAGCAAAAAAAAAAAAAAAAAAAAAAACAAAAAAAAAAAAAAAAAAAAAAAAGACAAAATCTGAAATGTTTTCAGATTTTAAAATTACGTCCAAAGGGGCGTTTTTTAACATTTTGTGTGTTACCTTTCTTTATTAAATATCATGTTCCTCGCACTTAAACCATAAGATCCAGTGCAACAGCAATATCGCCAAAATAGTTTTTTAAAACGAGCATATCTTTAGAATTTCCGATACAGAGACTCACGCGCTGGAGATAAAAATGTTTTTTCTGCACAACGTTGCCATTGCTCGCTTTGAAGTCCTTGAGTTTGTTAATCAAAAATTCGTCAAAGTTTTAAAAAATAGGAAATCGATCATAAAACAAATTTCAAATTTCAAATTTGGTCTTCCACATGCTCATATTCGTTGGAGGATTACGTTATTCAAAATTCGATGACTCTATGTACCGTTGTTTTATCACAATACGAGAAATATACATACATTTATGCAGATTTTTCATTATTTAATTTCTTCAAATATAATGCAGGACTCTAACATTTTGTGGCAACAGTTTGAAAAGTGAACCGACATTTATGAGTCCGACGCAAAATGCCAAAACGAAACTAATAGTCCTTCGGGATTCAAATCCCTTTGGACTAAAAAGAAACAGTTTTTTAAAGACGATTGAGTATTTCTCATTTAATTAATTCAGTTCTTACTTCGCGAGAAGGCAAAAATACATAAAACCTCAAAATATCTATATTAAAAATTACGAAGTAAACCTCAAACGCTTATTTCCTCGAAAAAATTCCAGAAAGAATTAAGCATGGTTTAATTGGCAATAATAAATGAATGCGTAAATGTCTTTGTTGTTGCGAAGCTAAGTTTCTCTATATTGGCAACAAATCCACTAGGCTCCTGTTTCAAATGTAAACATCAATGGCCGCCATTAAAACAGGCTAAGCGGCAATTAAACAACTTTAAAATTGCTGATAATTCTAAAAATATTGCACACAGATTTACTAAAAGCATAAAATCCTTAACCGGAATATAAAAACAATATATTTCAATCATTTTTAAAGAAAAAAATGTACAATTTACAAACATATAAGAGTAAAGAAACTGAGATCACTGAGCCGGGTAATAGAGTGGATATATATATATAAATATATTTATATACGTTCGGAGCGGCCGATTGCAACCAAAATACGAGGTGCACATCTACATGTTATAGCAGTCCTATATACAAAATTTCAACGTTCTGAGGCTACTCGTTTTTGAGTTCTAAAAAATTTACGAGTTCTAAAAATAATTACGAGTTCTAAATTTGAGTTCTAAAAAATTGCGAGATACGTACGTACGCACGAACGTACGTACATACGTTCGTACAGACGCCACGAAAAATTCTCTTCAGAATTAATTTTAAAGCAGTTTTATAAATTTTTTTTGAAGGAAAAGAGTATTTTATTCAGTCCTTACGTACAGATATCAATCAAAAACATCGTTGAATTGCATTCGATAGCGGTCAAAATGGATATTTTCGTTGAAATATGCTGCCTGAAACTTTTCGCGATTGCAATACTTCCTTTTTACTTCGTACAAGGAAGTAAAAAGGGCGACTGCATGTTAGAGTGATTTTTTTTATCAGTTAAAACAATGCCCTCCAGAGCTCTTTTTCAGACAGGAGAGATGAATTTTTTTAGAATTGTTTGCTGGTTCTAGTCTATCTTACTTATTGTTTTTAGCATTCTTATACCCTTAACTGTAGAGGTGGCTAATGATAAAGAAAAATGCAGGAATGAAAATTGTTTCACATTAAAAAATTCCAAAAAATATTTGGGATAAGGCGGCCTTCAAAATTAGAGGTTAAGGCGGTTATCTGACTTCTGCTTATAGGCAAATAAATGAAGAGATCATACTATAAAATATTTTCATTAACTAAATATCTTGAGTTAGATAAATTCGATCTATAAAGAAAGTTAATATTAATTAATTTTACGGTCTAGAAGTTTACGACCTTCCTCTTGATCGAAAATCTTGAATAATCAAAGTTTCAAGATTTGAAGTTCTTGTGTATTTCTCTCAAAGTTCTGACATAAAATACCTACATATTTCTTTGAAATAATTGCATAGAAAGAGTAAACTTGCATAAAAGAAGAAGAAAATAAAAAAGTAAGTATGTAAGAAGAGCGAAATAACACCTTTTGGAAAATCTTCTTCATTAGTTAGGAAATTTTCTTGAATTGAAATTTGACGTCCAGGTACCATACACCCACCGTACTGCAGAGCGAAAGGATAGTTTCCAAAAGCGCTATTAGAAACGTTGTCTATTAAGATATCTGGCGGAAAAACAGTATTTTCTGGAGTTGCCTTTCCGACTGTCAGGTTTACCAATTTAGATATGTCCCAGCTCCTTGGCAGAAGAAAGATTACGTTGGATATCTTGAGTCTCACTGCTTTACCCAGTATTTCTGATGTTTCAGTCAAAACTTCCTGAAATATTGAAGAAATAGGTGTATTATTGACAGTAATATTAATAGAAACGCAGATAAGTGCACAAAATGTCATACCTTTGTTTTGTTTATTGCATATTTGTTTATCATCAAAATATTACAAATTGAATGCATAATTAACTGTTAGAGAATGGCATTTGAGTTAATTGTACAATGCATTCAAAGTGTCCACCATTTTGTTTCACAACCATTTGCAGGATAACGTTTGCATTTGTCATGCTCTCCAGCACACGTTTTCCGAGACTGTACGGCTCAAATGCACGATAAGAATCTTGGGTTTAGCTACATTTGCGGGCTTCTTTGCGAATAAATTATCCTTAAAAAATCCTGTAAAAAGAATTCATTTGTATTAATATCCGGCTTATGCAAGAACTACTGTTTCCCCCTTTCGTAATGTTAAGGAACCGATGCAAAATTTACAAGCACATGAAGCGTCTTACTCAGGAAATCATGAATAGCATTTAGATTAGAGCCCATTTAGAGCTTTTGGGGTGGCTTCCGTCTTTTACTGAGCTACTAAGTAACGTGAAGCCTTTTTCAGGTGTGAGGTTACTCGATGTGCCCCGTCGATTCTTCTTCCAGCACACAAGCCAGCGGTGCTCACTTGCTGACAGTCTGTGAATGGTCAGTTTGCAAGCAGACTATCTTGAACCAAAGCCTGCATGAAAACGTCTTTCTGTTTAACGTTCATCTGGCCATTGTCTGTCATCTTGCAGACTAATGTTTGCAGGTTGCGGAAATGCGAATCCAGTGCTGTGGTTTCCTGACATTTACGAGATTTTACATGAATAAAAGCAAATAAATACGTATTTTCAAAATTCAGTATATTATATTGAAAATTTTGTGGAATGTCTGACCTTTCGTGCGCAATCCTGTGCATTTTGAAAAATCATTAAAGCAAATTTTGATAATTATTCCTAAGTCTACTAATATTTAGTTTTAAATAAGTGCAAAAGCACAACATTTATATATTAAGTTCTCAAAGCAAACGGATCCCAAAAATTAGCATAACTAATGTCTCAAAAATTCTTCCACCAGAAAAGCTGATCGAAGATATATCAGATCAGTTTAGAATATCATCGAAAGAGATTTGCCCTTATTTCAAACTTTTGAGGAAAACAAGAAGCTGTGTTAGATGGATGACAAATATTCTCACGCAGCTTTCCCCTTATGTATGAAGGAGCATATTTACTTAAACTGGAAAACGCATTCGGTTATCGAATTCATCGATGCTACAAGACGTCGCAACTGCCAATATTTCTCCCATTCTATATGCCAAAATTACAGAATGTAATTTCAGAGCATCAGCCGCAAGTGCAAATTGCCGCATGAATGATCAAGCCGCAAGCAAAGAAAGATAATGGGAGTACTATTTTCTTCCTGAATTAAACTTAACTGAACATGGCACATTTTTGCAAAAGGAATCTCCCTCTTAAGGACAATTATGTTAGCCATAATTCTATTTATGTTCTGCTGATGTAGTTCTTTTAAGGATAGGGCAACCGCCCAGGGGCCTGACCATATGACTCAGTTCAACTAAGTCATTCGGGAAAGTAGGAGATCCAGATCATTATATTTCCAAATGCCCGTTGCTGGTTGTACATCACAGGATGTCCCATTCTTACCACTAGATGGCGGGCGATCTTCCCTTTTCTTTCTCTGAGTGAGATCTGAGAACGAAACTGGATTCTAACGCGCAGCGAGTAGAGTCAAGACAAAATCCTCTGCCTTAGGAAAAGCAGATAAAATTTAATTATAAAGGATGGCTGCCTTAAAGTCTTGTAAATAGTGTAATTTAGTTTTTCCTTTGAATAAAATATATACAAAGACGAGTTTGCTTCTTATTAATGAAGAAACGGTTATTGGAGCACCTAGTGTTACGAACAACGAAGATGCATGAGGAAAGTGAATGTTATGTTGCTTTTTGTAATAAAATCTTAATACGGCATTTCATGGCACCCGAACAGAGACTCAAGGTTTTTGAAAGTTCTAATAAACTAAATTCGATCTCTGAGTATTAAATTTGAAGATTTAATTTTTGTTCTTGAAATTTCAGAGGAATAATAATTTTGCTTTCTAAGTGAAAGTTTATTTCTGATTCTTGAAAATTATATTCTGTATATGTACTGAAGTCTAAGAAGAAAATGTCAGAAGAAAAAAATAGATGAATTATAAAAGAGAAAGATCTTACGAACTGCCATTAAAAAACTATTTTAAAAAATCGAAAGTGAATTAGATAAATCAGATGTTCGTGCTACTGAGCTTGAAGAACTGTTAAGAAAGTTTAGTGTTAAAACCGAAACACTTTCTAATACCGATGCTGAACCTGAACCAGTTTTGAGTGCAGATGATTTTGGAAAATGAATACGAAATTACAGAAGAATGTCGCCAGAAGATAAATGAAAATTTAGGCTTAAGAAACGTATTAAAGAGTTGAATAATGACTTGAATACAAATATTTCAGCAGCTGCGGTTCAAGATTGTGACTTAATTACAACCAACCCTCAGCAAAATGTAAACGATACACCAAATATTAAAATACCAAAACTTCCGATTCCCATATTTTATGGAGACAGTAGTCAATGGCTTAAGTTTTAGAACAGTTTGAGTCCTCAAGCCATAGTAACAAATCCTTGAACAAGGTAGACAAATTTAGTTACCTGAAAGCATATGTAGTAAAAACTGCTGCCAGTTGCTTTCAAGGATTTCCTTCATCGCCAAAACATTACAATTCAGCAGATCTAATCTTACATGATCGTTATAAGAAGGAAGAATATTCTTATTAATGCTCATATGAATAATTTGCTGAATGTTGAACCATTAAAAAATGCGAATGATATAAAAGGATTTCTTAATTTTTATGATAAAATATATATACAGATTAGATGGCTCGAAGCACTGGATATTGTAATGGAATCTTACAGCGCTTTGCTTTGCCCAATAATTCTGAAATTACTGCCTTCAGTGTTGACACTTTAATTTAACAGAATGCAAAATATCAGCACCGATTACAGGAGAAAATATTTATCGTAATTTTTACACACGTAACTGTCATCTCGCGAACGCACAAGGTCAACGATTTCTCAACAGGAAAAAATCCCCGATCGGCGACTATCTTCTTCTTCCCCCCGAAAGAAAAACACATCTGGTCTCCCAAATAGCCATAATAAACCGAAGATTTATGCAATCAGTTCCACAAGAATTATGACTGTATTTTGCAATCAGTTCCACAAGAATTATGACTGTATTTTGCAATCAATTCCACAAGAATTATGACTGTATTTTGCAATCAGTTCCACAAGAATTATGACTGTAGTTTTGTTTCCGATTTATCGTTACATGAGAAAGTAACATTTTGGGAAAGAAAGTTGCTTGCTATAAATGTTTAAAATCTCATCATTTAACGCGAGATTGCAAAGCAAAAACAACTTGCTTAATTTGCGAAAACAACATGCAGCTATCATGTGTAAAACAAAATCCCCCTGTCGAGGTTTCGAAAGTTAAAAAAGATATAGAAAATAAAGTACTTTCAAATTAGCAGGATGTTCAGCAGTAAATTCGCAAACTTTAGTTGTTCGCGTATATGGAAGAGGGAATAACAGATTTATTCGAGGATTAATCGACACCAAAAGTCAAAACTCTTACATAACCAGGTATGCGGCACAGAGGTTAGAATTAAGAAGCTTAAGTTAACAAAATGTAACACCCGAACTTTTCAGTGGCATAGAAGTTTCTGGAAAACATAAACGTTATAGAATAAAACTGGGTAGCGCAGATAAACGGTATAATTGCAAAATCAATGTATTAGATGAAAAAAAAAGATATGTTTTTTGGTACCTAAAATAAAAAATATATATTAGAAAGAGAATTTAGAAAGCCCTGTAAATTTAATTTCAAAATTTTTAATGCAAATCCGGAATACCTCTCGTGGTTGCAATGCAAATGACCTAACCATGTCTCACGGAGAGGAGGGACGACCATTTTTGAAATTATCGATGGATGAATGGCCTAAACAAAGGGAAATACCGGGCATGAAAATTGGGATTTCAGGAACCAAAAAAAAAAAAAAAAAAAAAAAAAAAAAAAAAAGAAAGAAAGAAAGAAATTAAACATTATACTAAATATGCAAAAGGTAGAAATTCTTTATCAGAAATATTCATTTTCCCATGGCATGTTAAGAATAACACTTTGGATATCTAGATTTATCAATTATTGCAGAAAACTAGATTCCAAACAATCAGGAGAAATCACTATCCCTGAAATAGAAATTACAGAAAAGAAAATATGCAGGATCTTGCAGATAAAAGTAATTGGCAAAGAATTTAATTATTTTTTGCGCAGTGTACATATATCTTAAGCTAACATTTGATAAAATGAAAAATGTACTATTTTAACAAAGTTAGATACCTTTGCATCTTTGTTGATTTTGTTGATTTTCGCTGTTCAGTTGTATTGCCATCAGATCATGACTTATTTCATCTGTTATTTACGATTATCCCATGCTGGTGTGTTATTCGTAATAACCAGTATTCAGTAGAAATTCTGGATTGTGAGAGGAATAAAAATAGTACGTAGAGTTCTGATAAAATGTGTTTGCTTTAGAAGATTCAATACAAAGAGTATAGAAACTATTCTAGCACCTTTTCCTGAAGATCGTGTTAGAGATGCTCTTTTGTTCGAAGTGATCAGACTAGATGTAGCTGGTTCTCTTTATTTGAAGAAAGGAAAAATAATATGATCTTGCTCTTTACTGGCACAGTCTATCACGCGATACATCTTGAACTGAGAAATTTTGTCAACAAGCGTGTTAATCTTGGTATTAAGAAGTTTTTTTCCTAGTAGAGGTCGGCCAAGAATTATTTACAGCGACAATGGCACTAACTTTTTTGGAAGTGAAAGTATATTGAGATCTATAGATTTTTCTCAAAAGATTTCGTGATGAATAGTTATCTATCCTAGTGCAAAGACCACCTAAACTAT